TTTTTTTTTTTTTTTTTTTTTTTTTTTTTTTTTTTTGTGTTTCTTTTTTCTTTCTCTGTTTTCTTACATGGTTCTGGTGGACCCACATTTGCTGGTGCTGATGCTGTTTTTCGTGTGATCTTCAACGTTTTTGGGTGACCACTGACCCTGTGACCTCCAAATGGTGTCCAACTAACCACTTAAAATTAACATCTTTTTTTTATTAACGAATTTATGGTATTATCTTTTTTTTTTTTCTTGGTGGGAATGGGGTTGGGGTTGTTTTTCTCTATTCTAGATTATCCAGTGAAGAAGATGAAAACGACAGAGAAGGGATTTGGTTTGGTGGCTTATGCGGCAGACTCATCTGACGAGGAGGAAGAACACGGGGGTCATAAAAATGCAAGTAGCTTTCCACAGGGCTGGAGTTTGGGGTATCAGTACCCTTCGTCGCAGCCACGAGCTAAACAACAGATGCCGTTCTGGATGGCCCCATAGGAAACAGCGGAACAGAATTTTGACCCTTGGTGACTCTTCGTTAGCAATAATGCATGCATTTGATTTATCAAGACTGGGGCCTGCACTGGGAACCATCGTGGACTGTCGCGGAACTAGAGACACAGTGTCCCCTTTCTGCAAGGGGTTGCATTCTTTTTAAAACATCCCTTTTTCTGCAGTGGCATAGCATCTGTTAAAATTTACTTAGGATCACAGATTTGTCTCAGAAGATTTTTTTTTTAACGGTGAAATGTGCTTGTTTAGCAAAACATCCCAACAGGGTCATTCCAGTATACATTTGACCTGGTCCGGCCTTTTCCTAACGCATATTCCCTATTCCGTCGTAAAGAAAATTTTATTTGTATTTTATTACTGTTTGGTCAATTTTGATAATAACTGGTTACACATGAAGCCTTACTATTTATTAGTGGGGAAATGATTTTAAGGCCATCCTTTCCTTTCGGTACTAAGTCTATGAATTCCTTAGTCCCGTTTCCATTTTTGGATTCCTTCTGCTTTGGAAATTCTGTTTTACTAATTTCGAATTGTCGGAGTTCGCTGGATCCTGGGTAGGAAAACGAAGTTATTTTTTTCATCGTGTCTTTTTATTGGAATGGTCCAAAGCTGGCACCTTTAGGCACACACTTGTCTCGTAGCCATGGCTGTGTTTATTGCCCAACTGGGTCAGAGAAAACTACTTGATGGTCAGAAGCTGGTCGGAGCTCATCACAGAAGTGAAACACAGCGGTCTGTCTCCCTCAGAACTGGTTGCAGCGAAAATGGAGAGATTTGACTGCTCGCAATAGGATGGGGACTTAGTGACTGAGATTGCCCTTCATCCTTTTTCTTGGCATTTCCGGTTTTGCCAAAAGAACTTTTTTGTATCAAATATATTGATGTGTGAAAGTGAAGGAGCTAGTCTGCTGAACCAGGAGTAGTTTGAGATACTGAACTGTCATTTTTGCACATTTGAATACTTTGCAGGCTGGCTTTGTATAAACTTATCCCCTGGTTTCCTATATGTTGTAAATATTTAGACCATAATTTCATTATAAATAAATGTATAAATATTCTGCTTCTGTTTTTTTTTTTTTTTTTAAAGATTTTTATTTTATTTTATTGGGGAATTGGGGGGATGGAAGCAGTGCTGGGGAATTGGGGGAAGGGGAACAGACAAGTTGCTGTCGTTTTGTTCTTCAATCTAGTTGTGGAGGACGTTGCTTCACTGGCCCAAGTTGGCACCATCATTGCGCTCTTCCTGGGTGAGGCAGATCAGTCGCCGGCTTCTGGACGGCCGCTCACTGCGGCTGCTGGCCGCTCACGCTGGCTGCTGGCTACATACGGTAGCCCATGGCAACCCACTGCCACAGGGGCTGCAGCCCACGCCGTCGCCGGCGACTCACGGCAGCTCAGCTCCAGGTTGAGCTGTTGTTCAGCATCTTAGCTGTGGAGGGCAGTGTCACTGGCCCTCATATGTGGGATCCGAACTGGGGTCCTCTGGCATCCCAAGCGAGTTCTTAACCATCGCGCCACTCGGCCGGCCCTGCTTGTGGTTTTTTTGTTCTCTCTTCCACAACCCATCCATGCACTAAAATTGATAAACTTGTTTACTCATAGTTGGAATTACACAACAAAATTCTAACCCCATCAGGAAAATACATACATGGACCCAAAGTTTGCCTACGGTTTCATGAGTTTTATGACTTTCCAAAGTAAACCCTTTAGAAGTCCAGATGAAAGTGTAAAGGATGTTTTCCATTTTTATGGAACACCGTTAAAAGGACTGAGTGAATGAAACCTATTTTTGAAGGAAATGCAAATTATTTGTGGGAAAACAGTCTCAAAAAGGAAAGAGGTTTGGCAGACGTTGCAACAGAAAGATTTCCGTGTCAAGTTCCTTCTAGTACCTGTGTGTGCTCTCTAAATAGAGGAATATAGTGATCATGCCTCCATTTATTTCTATATTCAAGGCCATCTGAAAACTTAAATTTCCTGTTGGAGGGTATTTGTTTACAACAAAGCAGATTTTGTAGTATCTTTCGTTTACATATGTTTAAAATACAGAACTAGACTTGGGGACGTGTGGCCTTGGAGACCTGGCCCACTCTTCCCAAGCGCCCGAGTTCATTGTAGCTGGTCCTGTAAGGATATTTACTTTCTCTGCTATTAAGCGGGAAACTTGCTCTCCATCCTGTTGGGAGGATTTGGTGGCTGGCGGGTCCCCTTTCCTCATTACGTTTAGCCAAATTAGTTTATCCCAAGCAGCAAACCGCCCTGAGTCAGTTACGTTAGAGGCGCCCTCTGTGCCCCTTGTCACACCCCCGTTTTGACTTGTGTAGGTGATTGTTCAGCACGTTTGTGTGTGTGCGCGCGCGCGGTGCTCCACCGAAGGAAAAGTGCCTTTAGTGGTAAGTCCCCGAGCTGGGTTTGAGGACCTGGAGGGGACATGTCCCTCCCCGGAGGGGGCGGGGCCCGTCCCTGCGTCATGGGGGCGCCCCGCCCCTCCCGCCGGTGGCGCCATCTTTCCCGGTCGCGGGAGGGGTCACAGGTCAGTGCTGGATCGTCGCTGTGAGTGGAGGGGGGACGCGGGGTGATCGGGCCCGGCGTGGCCTCCCCGTCCCGAGTACGAGCAGCGGGGGCTCCTCGAGGCGGAGGGGCGGGGGCGCGGTGGCGGGGCGCAGCTGGGGGGCGGGGGCGCGGGGACCCCCGCGGCCCGAGCGGCCCTGTGCCTTCGGTCCCCAAACCTCAACTTTCGCACTCGGCTCCTCCTCCGTCCTGTGGCGGTGCCCCAGCCGGAAAAGAAATTCCGGGTTCCTTTGTCTCTGTTTTTATTTTGGGAAACGTGTGATGTGTCACAGGACCGAGCCGCCCCGGTGTCCTCGGGCCCCGGAACCCCCCAGCCGGGAGCTGGAGTGCCAGGCCAGGGTCGGGCATGCTGGGGCGCCGGCTCCGGGACTGTCGCCCCGTGTCACCAGCCTGGGTCCGATGTGTTCTTCTCTCTCCCTAGGTGCCTTTTTCTCGGGGCCGCGCGGGGGTCTCCGAGAAGACAATGGAGCCTGGAAGCCGCCCAGCTGGCAGCTGCTGTAGCAGCCCCCCGGGGTTCTCTCGGGAATACAAGCTGGTGATGCTGGGGGCCGGCGGCGTAGGGAAGAGTGGTAGGTGACAATCCCTTCCGCTTTACAAGAAGTGAGGATGAACATTCCTTAAAGCCGGTGACCGCCACTCAAACCAAACGGGAGACTGGCTCTCGTGCAGTGTTGATAACTTCACGTTCTTGCCCTGGGTCGCCCTTGTGTGGACGTTAACTTTCATTTCTTGTTTTGAAGCTATGACCATGCAGTTCATCAGCCACCGGTTCCCAGAGGACCACGACCCCACCATCGGTAAGTCCTATTAGCGCTTAGGATTCCACACGAACCCCCAAAAGGGTCTTCCTTGGTGTCCATTTTCAAACCGTTTGTAACTTTCTCCTTGGAGCCTTTTTTGGTGTCTAATTCAGATTTATCTAACAAGAGACTCATAGCAGGATGGGGAAGCAAGTGAATATTTCTTTTTTCCTCACTTAACTCTCTATAGACATAAACATAGGCCCTCTTTAATCTGTCTTTTATTTACCATTCATGGGACACTTTCCTTGTTATTTTTATGGCGGGTATACTGTATTGTTAGATTAAAAGAAAAGTTTAAAGGCCACTTAACAGAAACCTGTCACTTGTCTAAGGGTCTGACTTGAGACTGACTCTGTAACTATGAGTCAGCTGGTTTGAACTTCCACAAAAGGAAGCAGAAAAACGAGTAGAGCCAGCCTGCTGAACTCTTAGAACCCAGGCCTGCAGAGCCTGGCTCGCCCCCTCCAGCTCTTCATTCAGAGCCTTAAAGCTCAAGTTCATTAAATATTGTAGTAAGGTCCTCCTTCGAGTCTTTTAAACTCCTCAATGCTCTGTGGTTGATGAGATGCAGTTAGGGTAACAAGTGACTTTATTTTGCCTTTTTAAAAAAAATTGCTTTTCTCTACAAAGGCTAAGAACATTGCTGTCATTCCTAAACCATAAGGAAGTGGGTTTGATTAAAAAGGGTGATATTCCGGGAGAAAAGGGGTGGGGAAAGGGGAGGGCACAGAAGCGCGGCCATATTACTAGTATTTTCAGGATGTGGTCCTGGGTCTCTAGGAAGGGTTTCCATTGGGCCAGGCCTCTGCTGCTGTTTCCCCCAAAGCCAGTGAGTGTTCTGTGCTAACCCAGCTTTGCATTGTGGTGGTTTTATCTGAGACCGCGGTGGATGGGAGAAATAGAAACAGTTCTTGCTTCCTCGTTTACAAGATTAAATTTAGAATGTTGTTCAGGGACTCAAACACTGGGAATTCTAAGAAAAAAACAAAGTTAGGGTTTAGGACATTTTACTTAGAACTCCAAAAGCAACTTTTCCTTTCTTTAAAGTCCTCCGAAAGAGTTACTTTCTTTTTCTTTTTTTTTTTTAAGATTTAAAAAAATTTTTTTATTAGGGAATCGGAAGGGGAACAGACAAGTTGGTGTCCTTTTGTTCTTCAGTCTAGTTATAGAGGACATAGCTTCTCTGGCCCATGTTGGTATTATCATTGCGCTCTTCCCAGGTGAGGCAGATGGGTCGCCGGTCACTGGACGGCCGCTCACGGTGGCTCTTGGCAGCTCACGCCAGCTGCCAGCCGCTCACAGTAGCGTACAGGAGCCCACTGCAGCTCCACTGCAGCCTACGCCGTCACTGGCAACTCATGGCAGCCTAGCTCCAGGTTGAGCTGTTGTTCAGCATCTTAACTGTAGAGGGCAGTGTCACTGGCCCTCATATGTGGGATCCGAACCGGGGCCTTCTGGCGTCCCAAGCCAGTTCTTAACTAACGCGCCACTCGGCCAGCCCAATAGTTACTTTTTTTAATCAATCAGACTTTTTTCCCCCATCACTTACTCTCTTGACAATATTAACTGACTCACCAGCAAATACTGACTTCTCTTGAGTTCCTATTATGTCCCAAGCACTGTGGTAGGCCCTGGCGGGGTAGAGCCCTGAGCAAAAAGATAGGGTGTCTGTTCTCACTGAGCTTATAATTTAGTGCATTTTGTTTCAAACTTTGGCTGCTAACTCCAAGAGGAAATCGTTTACATTGTAACCAGTACACGTACAAGTATGTGTGTGTACATACACATACACATATGCACATATGTATATGTAATTAAGACACCACAAAACTAGACTTACCTCACTGTGTGTGGTGTACTCTGGTATTTTCTCTTTCATTTTAGGTTTCTGCTTGTTTATTTTAATGCTGGTCCCAACCCATTAAATTGATTCACAACTCCCTAATCCTACTGGACAAGTGACCTGTAGTAAGATAAACATTGATTTAGTGGGCTCTTCACTTTTGAAGAAGAGTCAGATGCAAGGGTTCAAGAACAAAATTTTAAAAGAAAATACATCAGGATGTAAGCAGCAATTGTTTGAATGATGGAACGATCGAGTGGGTTTTTTCCTCTTTGTTTTTACTTTCCTCTGTTTTCCAAGGTTACTATAATAATATGCATGAAGAAATTTGCTTTCATAAAAGAGAAATGATATGGATTATTTAGATAATTGGAAAGTAAGTTATGATTTTTCTCTTTTGTGTAGTATTAAAATGAGGAGGAACTATAGAATAAGGTTAAGCACAGAAGACTTTTGAGTCAAGGAGGCCTATGTTGCCATTCTGGCTATATCATTAACTATGCAATTTAATTCTGGTCATTCAGTTAACTGTGGGGAAGACTTTTAATGTTTCAGGGTTTAATTTTCCTTATCTGTAAAATGAAGATAATAATACTTCCCTCACTGGATTATTGTGACTATTGAATGAGTTAATGTATATAAATTACTTAGTATAATGCCTGGCATCTAATTACTGTTTAATAAATGGTAAAGTTACTTTCCTTGCATAATATTTAAAAAGAACAATAAGACAGTCCTTCAGAATCTTTTTGTAGCTTAGGATTGTGGTTGAAGTCTTATCAACTTAAGCTATGAATAAAACTTACATCATCGCTTATATAACCTTAGGTAAAGACCCAATTTATGTATCTCAATAGATTTAGCATTTTTCTTGAGAAAAGGTGGGCCCTTAAGGAACTGTGGCGTAATCTGATTGTCCGTTAGACGGATTTTGAAGTAAGGTCACATATTCATCGCTTGTGGGTTTACAGTACACTTTTCTTCCTTCCTGTAGAAGATGCTTATAAAATCCGAATCCGTATTGATGATGAGCCTGCCAACCTGGACATTTTGGATACAGCTGGACAGGTATCCAACCCCCAAATGCTATGAGTCAGGGTCTTCTCACTGTGGTAAAGGGGAGGGGAGGGCTCGTGCAGAGAAGATCACTAGTTCATGTCTTTTAATTTTTCATGCACCCTGACTCAGGATAGCAGGTAATCAGCGCCTCTCTTTTTTTAACCTGAAATAAAGAGCTAATGTGTACGTCGTTCTGAGATGCATCGGAACACTGATGACGCTTGTCTCCCTCTAGGCAGAGTTTACAGCCATGCGGGATCAGTACATGAGGGCAGGAGAAGGGTTTATCATCTGTTACTCCATCACTGACCGTCGGAGTTTCCATGAAGTCCGGGAGTTTAAGCAGCTTATTTATCGCGTTCGTCGTACCGATGACACACCTGTGGTTCTTGTGGGAAACAAGTCTGATCTAAAGCAGCTGAGACAGGTGAGGACAGAGATGAAAATGCCATCTGTCATCTTGTGGGTTTAGTCTTTTTTTTTTTTTTTAGCTGAGCCATCCTGCTACCTGTTGGCAGCTCAGCGGCTGCTCAGCTCGGGCTGGACTCGAATCGCTGTTGCTCAGAGCTCAAACTCTTGAGCGAGCTCTTAACCAACTGAGCCACTCAGCCGGCCCCCCCCTTTTTTTTTTTTTTAAATTGGGGAACAGTGTGTTTTTTCAGGACCCATCAGCTCCAAGTCAAGTAGTTGTTTCAATCTAGTTGTGGAGGGCGCAGCTCAGTGGCCCATGTGGGGATTGAACCAGCGGCAACCTTGGTGTTATGAGCACTGCGCTCTAACCAACTGAGCTAACTGGCCGCCCCGGGTTTAGTCATTTTTGTTTCCGTTTAGAGTCCTCTGTCTTAAAATAAAAATTCAAAATTAGCTACACCTTAACCCAGAAGACTTCCTCTATATACTAGTTTGCTATTTTGTATAAAATCTGGATTTTAGGAATCCGTTTGCAGGACAAAATCCACAGGATAGTAATCAGAGGACAGGTAGGACGTGCATTAAATGAAGGATCGTGAAATGGTCAGTCCCTAAAACCCCAGAAACAAATCTGTGGATGTTGCATCAGGAGAAACTTAAATTAGACTTCCAGATATACTTCCTGAGGGTGAGGGTTATGAGCCCTGGGAGGGGAGAATACGAGAAATTATAAAAGAGTGAGAGAGGATTTTTCGTAGAGGATTTTCAATAAGTGATACCCTCAAGTGGTACCTAGACAATGGCTAGGGTGTTGCTGCTTGGTGCTGAGTTTCTGGGGGGACTGGGCAGGGGGCAGGGCACATTCATGACGACTGGTGGAAGTGAACGGTGTAGACTTCTCGGAAGTAGTTTGATAGTAGTTAAATTCATAATGCTTCTCAGTGAATCCCCATTCGAAAAATCTCCCCAGCGATTTAGATATAAAATGATCACTGCCAGGTGCTTTATGGTAGCGAAAACTTAGGAAAAGGCTAAATGTTCAAAAGTGGGAGAAATTATGGTATATCCATGATTGGATATATTGATTTTGGGTTCCTTCGAGTTTTCAGGGTCGTAGTTTTTTAACTACGTATGTATCTCTTTGCCTTGTGTTTTACTTTCTTAAAATGAAAAGTATGAAGAAGGTTGATATTCATAACTGTTCCCTGTCCCAAAGCGCTGTCTTCAAAACAGAGTAGAAGTGGATTCCTTAATCCAAAGGCAGAAGGAATTTAGAACTTGTGCAGCCCTGCCCCCCAACCCTCCAGGCACCCCTGAGCATTTTGGGGTGCCCTCCTCCTGTCCAGGTGGCCTCTTCCCCTCTGTGGATCAGTGTAATGGTTTCCCCGGTGCCATTACAAATTTTCTCATCATTCCGTTTGTAAAGGTCACCAAGGAGGAAGGGCTGGCTCTGGCCCGGGAATTCAGCTGTCCCTTTTTCGAGACGTCTGCCGCGTACCGCTATTATATTGACGACGTGTTTCATGCCCTGGTCCGCGAGATACGCAGGAAAGAAAAGGAGGCGGTGCTGGCCATGGAGAAAAAATCGAAACCCAAAACCAGTGTATGGAAGAGGCTGAAGTCACCATTCCGGAAGAAGAAAGATTCAGTCACCTGAGGTGGTGAGGCGTCACCTGTGAACTGCAGTGCTTGGTCAGAGGGGTCCAGCACGTGCGTCCGTGAGCCTGGTCCCTGCTCCTTCTCCTGTTATGACTGTTATTTTTAAAGTACCTGATGAAGGGGACATGCCTACTAGGAGTTTTCAATGATGTGGTATTTGAAATATTGTCTCTTAGCTCATTCTGATTTATTAACACAGTGGATGGAGCACTGTCTGCTTTTGAATTGTCACATTAGAATTTGATCTACCCACGTGTTGGGTTCTGTTGCTGATGGTAATGAATGAATTAATGTACGTTGTCGGCCCCCAGGGGGCCGCGTGCACCGTGCATGTCTGACAGCTCACAAGAGGAATGCATGGCCCCGCCTCCCCCACACTGTCATTCAACTTCAGTTTCCTGGGACTGTCCCCGAGAAGGACCTCCGTCTTCTCTGCACGCTGTGCTTCCTGGAGACAGATCAAAAACCATACAGGGAAACCGGTGCTAAATAGATCGGTGCTGACGACCAGCAGATAACTGTGGGACTGATTCTTTACAGATCATGGAGTGACGAGATTGGGGCAATCAGGCCATAGTTGACAGGAGTTGGGCTAGAGAGAGGCAGAGTCAGGACTGCGTTCCTAGCATGACCTGGCCTTTGTAAGAAATGTACTGGGATGGGTGAGAACAAACAGGAGCAGATAACTTGCAATGAAGGCTCCTCCTGGGATGTTCTTTTACTTTCTTTCAGGTTTTTGCCTTCTTTACCTTCAGAGGCTAACACTTTGGGAACCGTTCCTGGATTGCTAATCTTTTGCTTCATCTGTATCCCTGCTTGGGGCAGCCATTGCCTGTACAAGCTTGTTTTCCCCGAGGTGCACTTACATTCATAGCTTCTAGTGCTTTCTCTTAGCCCTCCCGCGCTCTCCAGAAGAGCTGGGCCTGGCCATCTGTTTTTAGGCCCTTCGTCAGACTGATGGCGTTTTCCAGGCAAAAGAGACATCAGGAATCTGAGTAAAATTGCATTGCTGGCACTGGCGGTCACCTGCCTCAATGCTCTAAGAAAGCCTGTGGTGTTTCTGTTTAATGAGCCCGTTGTGAAGCTTTAAAACCCCCATGCGGTGAGTTCCTCATTGAAGATTTCTTTATGAGGACCCTGCTGAGTTCCCCTCGGGGTTGTCTGAGCCCTGAGAGAAGACAGGCTTCTGCAGCCTGTGCAGAACTGACAGACGGTCGTCCTGGGAGGAAATAGCTTTAGTATCGGTGGTGAGTTCTCCCTTAGAATCAGGATGATTTTGATACTTGAGTCCTGTGTGGAGGTTCAGTGCAAAAGTGCTCAGAGTAATGTCACGTAGACCGAGCATTCAATGCCCCTGAGCGGTGCTGTGTGCACTTTAGACTCTTGAGAACGTGACTGTGATTCTGCTTAGAAAGCGCACAGCTCAGCTTAGTGTTCTCTGTTTTTTGTTACGGGCAGAACAGGGCCATTGGGTCCTTCCTTATAGTCAGTGGTGTATGTTCTAGGTTTAAAGAAAAGCACTGGTTGTAACTTTTTTAGCTAACTGCTGGTTTCTTTTAAAAGAAATGCTTTTGCTACAAATTAGTCATTTTTACAGTACTCAAGCCATCCAAAAGTGAAAGACCTGAAATTTGAATCTGTGCAGGACAGAAATCTTACAGGAACTGTAGCACTTTGAAGAAGCATGAAGGTGGAAAAGAAATACAGTGCAATTCTGTTTTAACAGTATTTCACCACGTTTAAACTAGCTTCAAGTCTTCTCAGTGGAATGCCTTAGCTCTCATTACTGATGACCTGCTATTTTCATCAGCAAGAACTTGACAGCTGTGTAATCATTTGAGATAGTCCAGGTAGCAGAGAACATTGCCAGAAAGGAACGTGTGTTAGGAGGGAATTTGTATTGTACATAGAACAATAACAAATCAGCATTTTTAAGACTATCACTGTCATGTGTTTGATTGTTGGATGAATTAACTCATCAGTTAGGATTGAGGCTTCTCTTCAGGGTGCTAAACAGTCTGAGGGATACAATAGGTGTGAGTCAGGGTTCTCTTCTTAGTGATCACACAGTGAACGTAATTGACAAGCTCTAAATAGTCAGTTTTATCCAATTCGAGGGCATTGAAGTCAATTACTGCCTGGAACTTTGGGGAGAAAAATTCAGGGCCGAGTTGAAAAGCACTGGAACTACTCAGTCCATGTCAGATGGGTAAGTTACCACATTGAGAAGCAAGTGTCTAGAATCAGCTGTTTCGGTTCAGAAAGGGATCTACCTTTGTTTTACCTTCTTGATATTAGCAAGCGCTGGTCTACTGTGATGTGTGGGGAGGACATGGTTTTCACTCACGTCCCGTATATGAAGACAGTTTGTATTATGCAATATAAAACTTGTAAACCACTTTTTGGGCTTTTCCTTTACTTAACGATGTGCGGGTAGAAATGTTCGCAATCATTGCAGAGGGTCATTTTAAGAAAAACATTGAGGGCCGGCCGAGTGGCTCAGTTGGTTAAGAGCTCACTCAAGAGTGCGAGCTCTGAGCAACAGGGTCGCTGGTTCAATTCCCAGCCCGAGCTGAGCTGCCAACAGGTGGCAGGATGTCTCAGCTAAAAAAAAATAAAGTTTAAGAAAAAAACAAAAAAGAAAGAAAAACATTAAATACCGTGAGATTTTATATTCTGGAGAGTATTGATTAAAAAAAATGGAAGTGCCCGCCATGTTCCGAAACAGCAGTATCACATGCTAGGTAAGGAGCATGGCACGGAATGCCCCTTCATTTGGAGAGAGTGTGCCCTGGGTGGGGAGACAGAAAACACACATGAAGACGATGGCAGCTTTGCCACCTGGTTCAGGGAGTTAAAGTCATTTCAATCATGTAAACTAAGTGTGAGAGCGAGGGAGGAAATTGGCGGTCATTGCTGTTGCCTCCACTGCTGTAATGGGCCTCAGTGGTGGGAGAGACGATTTAGTTTGGACAGTAAAGGAGTGTGTTTCTGGGTCCTTATTTAACAGTCACTGAGTGCCTCAGGAACTGTCTGTGTGGCCCACTGTTGAAATGGGTACTGAGGGCCCAGCACTCCATTTTCTGCTTAACATCTGTCGGGAAAGGCAGCAGAACCATGCAGTGAGGGATTCCAAGGAACATAAAATACCCCTGCTGCGGAGCTCTGATAAAATTTGCGTAAACAGAACAGCTAGAGAGCAGGGGTTTTTTTTTGTTTTTTTTTTTAAAGATTTTTACTGGGGAATCTGGGAGGAGAACAGACAAGTTGCTGTCCTTTTGTTCTTCAGTCTAGTTGTGGAGGACGCCCATGTTGGTATTATCATTGAGCTCTTACCGGCTGAGGCAGTCGCTCGCCGGTCATTGGATTGCAGCTCACGTCAGCTCACGCCGGCTGCCAACCACTCACGGTAGCTCATGGCAGCCGTCTACGCCCCACTGCAGCCTATGCCGTCACCTGGGACTCACGGCAGCGCAGCTCTAGGTTGAGCTGTTGTTCACCATCTTAGCTGTAGAGGGCGCAGCATCGCTGACCCATGTGGGATCCGAACCGGGGTCCTTAGCTGCTCAGAGCTGGCGTCCCAAGCCAACTCCTAACCAACGCGCCACTCGGCCGGCCCTAGAGAGCAGTTCTAAAGTAGTACATTATGTGCTGCAAACGGGGAACACTACAGGAACTCAGAGACGGAATTAGTGTGGCTGGACGACTCAGAGATGACTCCTGAGCTAACATACAGGAAGGAGATTTAGGAGAGACCGGATTCAACCTAAATGGAAAAATAAAGAGAGAAGATCAAAGAGATGTAACTTCTGAAGCTTCTCATTCCTGCTGCTTCTGAAGATTTTTTTTTTAATTGGGGGAAGGGAACAGTGTTGGGGAAGGGGAATAGCCAAATTGTGGTCCTTCAGTCTTAGTTGTGGAGGGCACAGCTAGCTCAGCTCCAAGTGCAGTCATGCTGCTCAGCTCAAGGTGCTGTGTTCTATTAGGTGCGGGTGGGCGTAGCCACCATCCTATGCGGGAGTTGAACCAACAGTCTCGTTAAGTGTGCACGCTCTGTCCACTGAGCCATCCGGGTGGCAGCTCAGCTCAAGGTGCCGAATTCAGTCTTTAGTTCCCGGGGGGGGGGAGGCGGGGGCTGGAGTAGCCCACCATCTCAAACAGGCAACCTTGTTAGGAGCACATGCTCTCACCAGCTGACCCATCCTGTCACCTGTTGGCAGCTCAGTGGCAGCTCAGCTCTGGCGCAGCATCATTGGCCATGTGGGAATCGAACCGGCGACCCTGTTGCTCAGAGCTTGCACTCTTGAACAAGCTCTTAATCAATGGAGCCACTCGGCCAGCCCTCTCATTCTTGCTTCTTTACTGCTTATTTCCTTTAAAAACATTTTTTTTCTTATATAAGTGCCTGACAAGTAATGGCTAGTATGCAGCTTTTCCAAACTCGCCTGGTCTTGAAAAGGGTGAGACGTAGTCCTTGCTAGGTTCCACAAGCACTTGGCTTCATCAGATGGTCTAATCCTGAAAATGTTGGGTAAGCCTGGATTTGCTCAGCTTCGAATTAAAATCTGTTTTCAGATGATTCCTCCCACATTTGATCAGCTCGGCTGGAACGGACCTTAAGTGGTACCTTACAGGGAGCTAGCTGGAGAGAGAGCCTAGTCTTCTGACTAAAGGGATCACTCACCCTCTCCTCAAAGTACCGTTAAGTGATCTCACTTCACACATCAATTTCATCTTTCTCCCTTTTCTCCCCACTACGTGCTGTGAAACGATTAGGTAGAGCGCAAGTTAGAATAAATCAGGAAAATAGCAGCTGTATTTATATTTTACTCAGAAGTTTCGACAAGTGTGTTTCAGAGAAAGTTGGGAGAGGAGTCTGCAGCTCTTCTTCCTTGGTTCTGCTTAACTGTTTCCAGGGTGTGCTCTTGGCCTTTTTGGCTGGACTGTACCCACGTGTGGAGAAAGCTAGAGTTGCAGAAAGACCCGGATGAGCTGAATTGTGCTGACTTGGTGCCTGTTTGGCCTCACTGTTCAGGAGCACAGGACCAAGTATGGCCTAGAGGCACCAGGCGGGTTTTTAGGACATGTGGTCAGACAGCATATGTGAGTCAACCAGTCAGTTGAGCCTTCCATGTCCAGATGGTCAGAGCTGGAGCACGGGCAGCTTCCTTAGGCTGAAATGCGTTAGCTGACCTAACTGAAGACCCCGGCACATCCTTTCTGCTCCTGGGGGGTTCCAGCTGATTGGGAAGACAAGGCCACATAAAAACTGACATTGCATTGGCCAAAACAATTTGCAATATCTAGGATTAAACTGGTAGGTGGGGTTGGACCATGAAGATTTCTCAAGAGGAGGAAAAGTGTGACATGGAACAATCGAAAAGTCAAAAATGTATATAGGATGACGATACAGGCCTTGATGCGAAGTCCAGACCGGATCATGTTACGCATGGAATGGGCATTGAGACAAGCTTGGGGTTAAAGGTTAAGGGCTGGGATATAGCCAGAGACCAGCAGGGCAGGCAGGGCTAAGCGGGTGGAAAGCCGGGGAGGCCGGTCTGTCGCATGCACGGGTCCCAAATACCTGGTGATTCTGGATCAGAAGCAGCTGGAGAACTGTTTCGTTTTTTTCTCATTTTCTCAGCTTAGCTGCTCTCTGGAAATGTTGATTGGGTGGATCTCTGGTAGGACCCAGGAATCTGTGTGAAAACAAAAACCTCCCCAGGTGATTCTGATACAGCTATGCAGCTGTCCCTAGATTAGGAGTCACTGAGTTGGATGGCGTGGCAGGTCACCGGGGGTGGGGGTGGAAAGCAGTGATGGGCTGCAGTTCGCAACCGTGGAGAATGTCAGCGGACATATACCTGGGAGTAAGCAACAAGGAGGACGCTCTAATAGTTTACAGGTAAGGAAATAAGGGATTTGACAGGACAAGCAAGAAACACTCAGAACAAAGGGCTGGTAGGTCTTCATGTTGGGGGTAGTATTCTGAAATTGCCAATCAACTTGTGAGCACGAGGTGGCCTGTAGACAAAAATGACTAGAATGTTTAGCCTCGTTCAATAGTCCTTGCTTAAATAAGCAAAAACTGTTGAGGAGCAACTTTTGGTTCAGTGTGTACATTCCCTCAGCACACATGACCGTGTCATGAAGTCACCCAGTTTTTGAACAAAAGCTGCTGGGGTGGGGACGTGTGTCATTTCCTGCCCGTCCCAGAGCTGGTTATTGCTGGCGTTTATTGCAGTTTGCTGCGAGCCAGGAGAAAGTCTTTAGCTCCGGAACACCCCCACTGGATGCCTTCCCTGGTTCCCCTGCAGAGGAGCATGGCGTGGAGGCCGAGACACTTCCGGTTTACATGAAGGTGAGTGCAGGTACGCGCTCAGGTACGGTGTCATCCACACCAAACCTGCCGGCGCTAAGGCGTGATGACGTCAGTTTGGTCAGAAATAACTCACACCGTCCCACCCCAAACTGCGGCCACCCGTAATGTCATATCCTTAGACGCCTCAAGAGAATATGTGAGTCTGGCTGGCTACTATACACCCACCACCATCAAAAACACAGTGACAGAGACCACTTCAGACCCAACTTCTTCTGAAACTCCGACTCCGAAAAAGGAAGAGGAAGCAAGGCTCTGCCAGTGTGCTTCCTAGACGGTATTCTGCTGCCGGCCTGTCTGCCTTTGTCCCACAAGCTTTGACGGAGGGCTTGCCGCAGGCCAGGTGTTGTGCTGGGTGTTGGGGAGTCCACAACTCTCGGGGCACCTCTAAGTCTAACATGCAAAGTCCCATGGGAGATTTGGACTGAATGGCGGAAGAGCGGGCAGGGGTAAGGAACAAGCAAGGAGTGTCAGCCGCTTGCTGAACAGTCGTTACATGTGAGCGTGGAGTCTGGCGGGAGTGAATGGAAACCATGAACGTACCCGGTTTCATACCACTGCAGGGGACCCTCTGACACATTCTCGAGGACCTTACAGTTAACGTCACGAGCACATTCGAAGGCGTGTTAGTTCCCATTGGGCTCTTTCTGTAGCTTTCTTTGAAGTCTCCACCCGGTCAGCAGTGATGGTAGGGAAATACAGGTGGTAGAAAAAAAGCCAGACTGCTAATTCAGGCTCCATGAGCCGTGGAACTTGGAATGAGTTATTTAAATTCTGGACTTCAGTTTCCTCACCTATTAAGTGGGAATAATAATAATAATAATAAAATAATAATAGCACATATCCAACAGGGTTATTGGAAGGACTAAAGGAGTTTTAAATGTATAAAGTGCTTAAAACAGTGCCCAGGACCCGTAAACATTCAATCACATTAGCCACTTTTGCTATTATCATTAAAAAGAAAACGTGACACTTTGTAGGCCTGTTAGAGCTTTGCAATTAGATTGACGTTGAAGATCCCATGTTAGGGGCATTACCGGCCTCCCAGGCCTGAACACAAGAGCAGCTAATGAGTGCCTAGGCTTTTACCCAGGCTTCCCTGGGAGCACATCTGTCTATTCCTGGGTCGGTGAAGCCTTCTGGCCTCCTGCAGGGGCTTGTTCCTGGAGCACCAAGCAGAGCTCTGAGCATCTCAGAGGTGCTCAAAACTGGTATTCAACCCAGTACAGTGTTAGGCCCCCTGGGATGCTCTCTTGGTTAAAGGACCTGTAAAAGCTCTACTGATTACGAATGAGCTCTCAGCCTTCCCAGCGATTTTGCACTATGGCTAAACTTAGGCTCTTGCATTACTCCGAGAGGACTCCAAGCATTAGGCTGTTGGTCTTCTCAACCCACAAGGTATGGGTATGTGTGTGTGGGGGGGTCAAATCAGTATGTGAGGCACTTAGTAGGCTGGCAACTCTCCTTGGAGAGTATGTTGTAAGATCACAGGAGAGAATATACCTGGAGTGAGAGGTCCTGCAGAAAACACGTGGTGCTCTCTGTTGGTTGCCCACCCAGCATCCATTGCTTCTTCCAAAGAAAGTGATGTTTTATTCAAGAATCCACATGTTTCCCATACTCAGTTCCAGGGCAGTCTGAAAGGCAATCCCATCCTCTATGCCTGTGATTGGCTCAGAAATGCCCAGCTGACAGTGTGGACCAGCGGGATGGGGAGAGAATCGCCAGAGGCCCCCGGGGATGGCTTGCCTTATTTTTCTGGGGGACGTCCTGAAGCAACCTACTCTCTCCCCTGGAAGTGAATGAGGAAGTATGAAGCCGTGGAAGGGGCTCTGTAAACATCAGGAAACCTCAGGATACAGCTAACACTGCACATCAGATGGGCCACAGAAAGAACCAGGGCCCTGATAGCTTCAGTGACCTTTTGCCGGAGTCAGCTCTAAAGCTTGCCCCATCTTTGGACTTGCAGTTAGGTGAACTAATATATTTTCATAGTGTTTAAGCCAATTTAAATTTGGTTTCCTGTTAATTGTAGCCAAAAGCATCCTGAATGCTGAGATGCTCTTACTGTCATTGCGTTATATCATGATGTTACTTGTTAAGACTGTCAGCCAGAAAAAAAGGAATATGCAAAACTACATCCGTGCCATGATTGCATTCATAAGCTAGTTTAAAAAAATTGGAAGGAGCTATGCCCAAATGAGTCATCTCTGTAGCTGGACTTTTCTCCTTCGAACGTGTGCTTTATTTTGCATGTTTTCTACCACGATCCTGAGTGATGTTATCAGGGGAAACATGCAAAGGAAATAAAACTGGGAGACAAACTGTTTGTTAGGGTTTTGGAATCTTGATGATTTTTTTCCCAACTGCCCTGTAATATGCTTCATATATTAGTTTTGTCATTTAAAAATGGTTTTTAGTTCCTTCACTGAAACTTAAAAAAAAAAAAGCAGGGACTTTCCCTCCCTCTTCCTTTCTCTCCACCTTTTAGCACACACACTGGGGGGATCGTCTACACAGAACAGAAAACGTGGAGAGGGCACCATTCAGACCTTAAGGCAGTCAGGGAGATTCACAAGGAGCAGTGGTGGTGGTGACGACACCCCGGCCTTGACCCCAGAACGCGGCATTAAGTGGTGTGCCTTTTCTTTTGAAGCATTTCACATTTATCAGTGTGATGATGCGATGAATGCTTGCCCCTGTATTGTACCGTCAGTGCGTGGCACATGGTGGACACTCAATACGTAAGTACTTGTTGGCTGATGAGACAGTGAGCAGAATCGGCTGGTCTCAGCATTGCTTTTTGGAATAAATATGTTCGATTAGCGGGGCACTAAAAAACATCACCACTCCGTGTGGTGGTTAGGGTCTTATGAATGACATTTTGAGAGGAAAGCACAGTGACTAGAAAAAGGATTAGAACAAGCAGCAAACCAAGTTGCCTACCCAGGGCGGGGCTCTAGGACAGGAGCCTGGAATCTGCATTTTTTTTAAAGTGCTCCCCCCAGATGATTCTGAACCAGTGGGTCACAGGCGTTTTGGAGAAAACGCCCTTAAACATCCTCTTGGAGTCCAAATGTTAATTTCCCAGCCAACCAGCTTCCAAGAGAGCCACGCTGACGTCACTCTATTTAATGTCAGTCGGTTTTTATTTTGCACTTGTGTGGTGCGTTTACAAATTCAACATACAGGATAGCATTACATATCGTAGGTTAGCGTTACAGCGTTATGCGAGTTCACACAATTCATGTTAGCTTTTTCAGGTTTTTCGTCTTTAATTTGACATGTTTATTTTATTCTTGAGTTTCCTTTTCACAAGAGAAGACACAAGGTAAAGAAAGAACGACCACGCTGGAGGAGCAGGGTGAGGGATGTGTCACTATCGTGGCCATAAGAAAAGCCTTCCAAGAAGGACCTGCACTGTCCCCTCTCCTGAGCAGGCGCCCATCCCCCAAACCAGTTCTGTTTCCACACCTAGAGCACATGAATGTGTGTGTCTTGGCTGTGCTCCACGGAGAAGAACCGAAAGCAGGAATAACTCATAAAGGGACTTCGGTTATTAAGAAAAACTCTTGTCTTCCCAAAGGAATCAAGATAGCAGAGAAGGACTGACTCTTGGGAAATCAGAAGTGACCATTCCCTAACCCATTTCTGACCATGAGTGCTTTGTGCAAAAGCTAGGAGGTGAGTCTCTCGTCTTTCTACTGACTCTTAGGAGGGGGCATTCCTCCTCCACCATTATCAGCTAGCTCTGGGAGGGACGAATGTGACAGCCAAGGTCAGCTAAGAAACTTTGGGACAGCAAGGTCAAGGGCATGATGGGTCAGGCCTGAGGTAGGAGGGAGGGACCCTGTACTGTCTGCCCCTTGGTCTTTTTCTGGGAAAGACACCAAGGCAGCTCCCAGGCTCCAGAACTACGGGTTCTTCCCCTGTCACCTCACCACCCAGTGCTCAGTAGACCCAAAGAATGCCGGGAATAAAGCTACCAGGAGGTAGGGGACAGGAGCGGGCTGCGGCTGTTCCCAGACTTCTGTCAGGAGGAGCTCAGAGGCACACACAGTGGGGCAAACACCACTGGGCTGTCTCCACCTGTTGCTTTAGCACTGTTTCTGGGAAGGCAGCGAAAGCAGTTGCTCAGCGATTTCTGATCTTTAGACATTAAGGCGATGAAGAGGAACTGTTTAAATTCTTTCCTAATGGGGCTTCAGAGCGCTCCTGTCAGATTTACAGTAAACCCTCTCAAAATGCATTTTTAGAAAAGGAAAATTAATTTCTTCTACGTATGATACAGTATTTACATTCCGCAGAGTACAGGAGAGTGGTGGTGGGAACCTAACGGATGGTGAGCGAGGGAGTCAGATTGCGGGAGAAGGGGGCTGACTGGGACAAGGACAGAGCGGGGGCTCTGTGCCGGCTCAGCACTGCTCTGCACTGTCAAGAACCCAGGTTTAAAAACACAACGAAAAGATTTGGGGGTGGAGGGGAGCAGATTCGTTTCAAGTCCACAAAAGCTAAGGGCACATCAAGGCAACACCCACTACTGCCAGGGAGACCCAGCTTTTCAACCCTCTTCTCGGAAGCAAGTTAGAAAGCGGGGTTTGGGCACGGAAGTGGACCTTTCACCTCAGCTAATCTCTCAGGCCTTGCTTCAAGCTGCTGCTGATCTGAGTTCCTCTTCAGGCTGGCAAAAATATCTCCTGCCCACCCAAGGTTTCTTATTGTCAGTGACTTAAGTCTCTGCCGCCTGAAAAGTCTCAGCATTAGCTACGTGGCTGGACGAGAGGTAGGGAAACTGACTTCTCATCCCCGCGGGATATGGGGTGTCTCCAGGAGGGTAGAACCCTGTGATTCCCCCATCCCTTCACCTTGTCATGAGACTCAGAAGTTCTGAGAACCAAGCACTTTGTTTTGAGGGAAAGGACGTCCCAAGTCGCCGTTAATGACTTGTTTTGTCACACTGTTATTTTTAAGAGCCACTACTGAAAATTTTAAGGATCTTTGAAGGCCCTTTGCCTTCTGAAGCAAAACTAACCACATCAAAGCTATCTGAGAAGACGCTAAAGTTTCTCAAGGGTCAGCATTTCTGGAAAAACAAAGGCCAAGTTAATCCTTCAAACCTCTGATGATTTCTAACCCATACAGAGCTGCAAGGTGGGGGGAAGGAGGTGTCAGAGTCATCTCACTTCTCTCCTTGTCCTCATACCTGCAAAGAGCATTTGGGATCAGCGGGATGTCTTCGTTGGTAACGTCCTACCGCTGAATCGGGAGTCTCCAAAGCTCTTTTTGGAGATGTCATCTCATCTTAAGAACCCAGCTCTACCTCCTAAGTCGGGTGGGTCCGTGTGCTTCATCACAACTTAACCGCAGGCAGCCATCTACCCCTTTACAGCAGGAGCACCGACGGCAAAAACACCCCATTTATTAAATACCCTTTCTCCTGCACACCTTGCCTAATCCCTTCCACCTTTGTTTCTTGGCTGACTAACAGACCTCTGGACCTTGAGCTCAGTCAAAGAGCAGAGAAGTAAGAGGTAATAGGGAGAAAAGGTGGTGATGATGGACATGTGAGGTCTTAAAAGAGCAAAAGACTTTTGCAGAGGTGGGGAGTGAGAATAACTCCAGAGAAGCCCAATAAAAAGAGGCCAATTTCAGGTCATCAGCAAATACAATTCGGCACAAAACACAATTTTCATGGATTAAAATCTGTAACTTGATATTGGCAGTTAGGCTAATTTCTTCAGTTTGTATTAGACATGCAAGGATAAGGTTACATTGTTATATATAGACTTGTAGAGGTCTTTCCCTCTCTTTTTTTCCCCCCATTAAAAAAACAAACAAACAAGAATTTCTAGAGCCTTGCAAAGGAGAAAAATCATCATCGCTAAGAACTGATCTGCAGCTGTGGTCATGTGGGGTGTTCTTTGTGGGGTTTGTTTTGTACGAAATTTTCTTCTACAACTAAAATGAGGTCTTGAGTCCACTTCTGTCTGTCACCTCCTCCCCCTCCCCCCACGTGCCTGCCCAGCCTGGCCCCGGGGGCGGGGGAGCGGTGAAGGGCACAGGATCAGTACTCGCTCAGGCTGTGCCACTTGGCCACGGGCTTTCGGGGGCTCTCGCAGACCTCTCTCCAGTGTTCGGCACCACTGGCGGTGACGCTGTGCGCCCCCAGGATCAGCCTTCCCACCACCTCGTTCTTGGTGGTGCGATCAAAGTCGATGACAAGGAACTCAATGCTGATGTCGGGCAGGAGGTCAGTGGGGATGTCGTAGATGAAAGACTCGTTGAAGACGGGGTTCAAAGTGCACTTCTTGACATGGGTTTTCTTCTTGGCGATGCGCTTTCTGCCGTAGTAGACGTTCACCTTGACGTAAGGATCTGGGGCCCCCAAAGAGACAAGAAAAAGGGAGACAAGGCCTATGACACAGTCCTCTCCTATGTGGTGGTCTCGTGTTGGGAGGGAGGGTTTTCTGCGGTCCATCCCTTTGTTGGCCACCACCACGTGGTGTTAGGTGCTAGCACAATAAATGCTTGCTGACTGTGTTTCAGTCCCCCTGCCTGGACAAGGGCCCAAGGGAACTGAGCAGGGAGAGAACAGAACAACTTCTGTGAGTCAGGTTTAAAGAAACCCCTTGACACCAGGAAGCACTTTCAAGGGCACAGAGACTAACAATTGCCTGCAGCCCTTTTGCGACGTCTCACCTGAAGCAGGGAGGGCTCAGCACCTGGCAGGATGCCATTTAGGATACCTCGCCGAAGGTAACAATTCCATTTGCTCACCCAAAGCACCTCCCCGGCTAGGAAAATCTATAACCTAGATATTCATCAGGAAGAGAGGCAGACAGAGAGAAGGACAGGTGCAGCGTGAAAGGCAGAAGGGGGCCTGAAATGTGGGGGCATGTCTGGGCCATGGGCAGGAGGCAGGGTCTGTTCAGACAGTTAGAGATAGGTTGAAGTAAATAGCTGCTACCTGAGAGGCCGGTGATATCCATCTTCGGCAAGTGTCTGGCTTTGAGGACCACCACTGTCATTCTCTGGGCCACGGGCTGATATGACAGAGACACCTGGAGCTCCCCTCTGCTAATGCACTTCTGTGAAGAAGAAGCGGCAGGTGAGAACCCGGTAGGCGGGCAGGGCCAGGCCCAGGCCAAGGGCAGGGAAGAGCGGCCGAGAGGGAGCCCAGGGAGAGGGCCGCGTCAGGCGCTCATCCCCGTAAAGGTGTGACCATCACACTGAACAGGGAGGGACGTGTTCTAATGCCGATCGTGATACTAAATGAAACCATTTGCACAGAGAGGCCGCCCAACCTTGCGCTTCAGAGCGCCGACTCTGCAGCCAGTCTGGCCTGCAATCACATCCTGCTGCCACTTGTCATCTGCATGACCTGGGACAAGGTACTTGCCATCGCTGTACTTTGGTTTCATCTATAATATGGAGGTAAAAACAGTACGCAATGCACAGGCTTAGGAAGAGAATGCCGGAAGTTAACCTGTGTAAAATGCGAGGGTCTGCCCAACGAGCACATTCTCTCCTATTCTCTCTCACGTGGTTCTTGTGATAGAAAACACTTTGAAGACTGTCCCGTGGAAGGTTGGAAACTTGGATCTGAGTCTTAACATTGCCGTGTACTCACCACCTGGCCTTAGACGAGTCCCTGGACTTTCTGGAGCCTGTCCTTGCATTTCCCAAGGTGACCAGCCGCCCTGTGTCATGCGCACTTCAGCGTCTTCTCTGGCCCAGCTGCCTTCCGCCCTATGCCCACATCTTTGCTCCTGTCTCTAAATTTCATGGAGGCTGTACTTTGAGCTTGAAAAACCTCTAGTCCTCCGAGAACATTTTAAACATTTGGATACTTACTCTGTGCCTGGGGCGGGGCACCCAGAGCCAACAGGACTCCCGAGGACCTCACCGTGAGTCGAAGAGACAGATGTGAGCAAATGTGAACTTGTCCGAGAAGGAGGGAGTCTGTCTCAGTGCTGCCGGGAGGCCCTGGGAAGGCTCTGCCAGCTGACATCTGGGCTGCGTTTATGAAGGGTGAGTAAGGGACCGTGAGACAATGGGCAGAGAGGGGAATCACACCCAGCGGAGCGGTGGGGATGGCTGGTACGAAGGCACTGGGTCTTGAAGGGGTACGCTGTGTTCCGAGAAGGGCGAGGGGACATGTGCCTGATGTTGGGGGGCCTGGCAGGAGGGATGGGCCGGCGGGGGGGTGGTGAGGTGAGGCTGAAGGGCAGTGGGGACACTGGAACGTAGCAGCAGAGGCAGACCAGGCAAGAGGGAGGCCTGTAAGCGTACGAGTGACCAAGTTCTCGTGGTGGCTGTTACCGTCTTATTAATAATATCATTATTTTAGTGAAAGCTGGAGCGTGCACTGCAGTGGAGAAAGACCAACATCAGAAAGCTCAGTCAAGGGGCTGCTGCAAGGCTCAGGGAGACGTGGTGAAGCCCGGATCCAGGGCTACAGCAGGAGAGGGGCGTGGGGTGAGCTCCGTCTCAGGAAGAGTTGTCAGGGTTTTCTGGGTACCAAACCCTGGGTGGCTAACTGGGTGTCCATGTGGGGGAGAGGGAAGGGATGCAGGACGATTTCTGAAGTTTCTAGCTTAGAAAGTGGGGCTGGGGCTGGGATAAGGAAAACACAAGGAGGTCGCATTTGAGGAATTGAGGATATAATAAGTTAAATTTAGGACGAAGTCATTCCCCCACTATCAAATCTTATTCCTTAGATTCTTCATAGCTTCAACGAAATGTCACTTACGTCAGGAATTCTTAGATTGAGCAAAAATAGACTCTTCTCACCACCAGCCTTACATACCCACCAAAATGACTTATTATGCACTTACTGAGTGCCAGGCACTCTGCCAGCAGCTATGAAAAGACAATGAGGAACCCTACTCTCAAGAAGCTCATGGGCTAGTGTTCTACCTGCTCAGGTGTGTCTGGTGCAGCAGTAAATAATTTAACGAGCTTAATAGTGAAAAACAAGGTAAAAAACATCCTAAGAGTCTGTGCTTTGATTATCAGCCTCAAGTCATCTCAAGGGAAGAACTCTGATAATATTTCACATGATTTAAAACATTTCTTGAGGTTCCATGTCATACCAGGAACATGTGGAAATGTCTCTTGTAAGGCAGAGAATGCGACTAACTAAAATTTAAACTTAGTCTCTAGCTTTTGAAGTTGAAGTACAAAAGAGAATAGATTTTAAAAAAAGGTTTTCATGGCGTTTCCTCAACGCTCGAGCGAAGCCCCACGTTTTTTCCTGCCCCATGACTTGCATGTTGTCAGCTCCTGACTATATCCATGGGAAGTACCCTCAGCCCGTATAAACGACAGGCTGGTTGCCCGTGCCAACCAGGACCTGCTGGGCTGCTTTCTTTTGACGCAAATCAGAACACCGTCAGAGACTGTAGACTCACTTTTACGATGAGCCACAGCCAAATGGCACTGGGAAAGTAACCCCTTGTGACAGAGCAAATCAGATGCCTTCCCGACATTCAGAACTGAGCTAGCCCAATACAGGGGCCACTAGCTACACGTGTCAATTTAAACTTTTAATTTGTGAAAATGAAAGAAAATTGAAATTTTAGTTCCTCAGTCATAGTAGCCATAGTTCAGGTGCTCAACGGCCATATGTAGCTAGTGGCTGTCACACTGGGCAGTGCACAAAGGGGACATTTCCATGTCACAAAAGTCCCAGTGACAGCGTGGGTCGAGAAAGAACCTGTGGATTATTTGAGCTCCCCTCCATTTCCAGGACTAAAGAAATGTTAACTCGATCTAATACCTATGTCTGGGGCCATCTTTGAATACTGGTATCCAAGTATTAAATATGCAATCTTTAAGTAGAATTCTAACTTCATATACAGAAGGATAAGTGGGGCAAAAGGGAGATTTGACATGAAAATAGAGAGTTTTACTTGTAAAAATAACATTGACTACAGGATTAGGGTTTAGGTTTCCCGATTATTTATTTAAAACTGTTTCCTACATCATCCATTATAGCAAAATCTTCCTCCTCTAAACCCCCAGGCCCCTTCCCTAGTTCTCGGAGAAAGCGGACAGCTCCTTGCAATACTTTTCTCCCCTAAAATCGCTTCTCAGGCAACTGTTCTCTGTCGATCCCCCTTCACCTTTGGCATTTTCTCTGTGCTGCCCAAGTCTGCAGCCACAACACCACCTGAATGCCATTCAATTCTGCAGCGAAGACCAGAGTCTCCCGTCTGTCCCCTCATTGCCCCCCACTTCTCTTTTCCACCCAATCCCACTCCAAGTAGCACTGTCAATGGCTCTTTGTCAAGTGCTGGGAGTGAGCTCTGTTTCCCAGCCTCTCGGCTTAGTGAGGCAAAGGCCCTGTTGGGGGGCAGACAAGCAGAAGGCCAAGGGGGAGAAAGGGTTTGAGCCACGTCTGACAGAGCTGGGAGGTTTGGCTCTCAGAGGGCGGGATCCTTCTCCCTCAGTGGAAAACAGGCCGGGGGAGCAGGGGTCCTAGAGAGGAAGGAAACACTTGGGTGAGGGAGAAGTCTATCTCTCCGTTTCCTCTAATTAGCAGAGCCCCCCTTCCAGAGTGATTTCTGGCCCGAGTCTTTGCACTAGGTGGACCCACACATCCTCAATAAACCTTTATTGGGGCTGGAAATCCCAGCTAAGGGCCACTTCCATCCACATAAATCACAATCATGAGGATACAAAAGACACAAAAGCCTTAATGTTCAACCACATCCCCCCTCGTACCCTCCCCAATTCACACGCCTAGCCACTTTCTTTATTGTTCCCAGAAACTTGACATTCCTTTTCCTTTCTCCCCTTCTCAGTCCCTTTGGCTAGAACGGATGACCTCTAAGGTCGCTGGTAGATCTGAGATTTTAAGGATCCTATCGTTCCCATGGCCACCATCCCAGGTCATCAGCACCCGATCTGGCAGTGGGAAGGCAGGAAATGGTTTGGAAAACAATGACCTGAAGAAATGAGGAGAAGTCTAGCAACGCTCCATTATCTACTCTGTAAATCACTTTCTTCCCACTGTCTCTTCTTTAGCCCCCAGCCCTCTCCGTATAGCCTCCCTTCTCCTTGTGGGGGATTTAGGAGGGGGATGTAACGTCACTTTAATTTCTCTCTGAATAAAATATTAGAAAAAAAGCTGTCATTAAAAAAAAAAAATCTAGTCCCAAAGTCCAACTCAGAGATTTGAGGCATTATAGATTTCATACTGTGATTTTCTTGCACTAGTAAGCAAGGGTTAAGTTTTAATGCTGCTTGTATCTTTTAGGATATTCCTAAGAGCTGAGCGTGCTCTCATGAGCGACCCGGTAGCCTACAGGACGCAGCCTAGAGGGAGGCTGAGCCCAGAGAACTGCTTGCGCGAGGAAGGCAGCGGACTGGTTAGAGGCAGAGATGATGATCAGTCCTGGGCTTCTTCACCTGGACTGGACCGTCTAGTGGGAAGGGCGAGGGGTGAGTTTTCTGCCATAGGCAGGAAATGCAGTTAGGAGTATGTGTGTGTGTGTGTGTGTGTGGGGGGGGTTCCCTAGAGAAATGCAGTTCTCACCAGTGTCCACCCAGGAATCTTTGGAGGAAGATGGTTTGGCCCCATATGATAAGGGGATGCCTTACACAGAGTGTGGAATAGTCCTGAGCAGCTCTAACCAATGAGCTAACGGGAGACCGGGAAAGGGCAGTCTCTTGGCTAAGTAGGGAGGACTCAGTAGACATTTGGGGGCTGTAATGCTAGGGAATCACGGGGACGAGTGACTACGGAGGTGACAGTCATGGCTCCGATGGGACGTGGCCCTGCCCACAGGCGCTGGCTGGGGAAAACACGCTTGGGAAGCTTGGGAGGCTGGAAGGCTCTGGAGTGGGGCTGCACAGCTCCGGTGTCCTGTCTGGGGCCTCTTCCAGGGTGGGGGTGTGGCCCAGCCCGGGCTTATCCCTCCCGAAGGGAGTTAATAAAGTGGAAAGAAATGTGCCTCTTGCCAAGAGCCCCTGGCAGCTTAGCAAATGCCATTGTCTGTGCTCCCTGTGCCGTGTCCTGGATTCGAGGCTCTTTTGTACCCAGCCCAAATCAGTCCCTTCCCTTGCCGCTCTCTTCCCAGCTGCAGCTTGGCACAGAGCCGTCCCCCTTCTCAGCCCCGGGCTGCGGGCTGCGAGTGCATCAGACTTGGGAGGAGTCTGGCTAGTTGGCGGCTTGACCAAGGTTGCGGCCACAGGGAAGGCTGTGTTGGAGAGGGCCCCCCTGCGAGAAGAGCTGGATGAAGGCAGGGAGGGGAGTACTGGAGCCACTGTCAAGGGGAGCCTGGAAATGGTGGGGAGGAGTGACAGAACCCTGTGGAAAAGCGATGGCGGGAGAAGGCAGCGGATGGAGGGGGCTAAACAGAGCAGGGGCTGTGGTTTCTGTCCCTGCGCTGCCCTGCCCTGTGGCCTCTGCCTCCCAGGCTACGAGAGCCCCTGCTGTGTTATGTTAGACTCTAGGGTGTCTATTAGACCCTGCCTTTGGGCCTGTGTCTCTGCCCTGACCAAACGCTTCTAATATTCTTCAGAATGTTTAGCTTCCCTGGCCGGTGAGGTGAGCTGAGCTGAGCTGAGAACCACGTGACAGCAGCAATGCTGAGGACAGTGGCTGGGCGGGGCTGGCTGCAGTGGGCCAGGCGCCTATCCCAGTGCAGCATGGAGGAAGTGAGGACACACCTCCACGGGGACCGGCCCCCTGGCCCCTGCCCCACTCTGTGTGGCCTTCCTCAGTGGACAGACCTTGTTCCTGGGAGCTCCTGCTGGTCTGGAAGCTTCTTTTGTCCGATGCCTCCCCACTGAGTCCAGCGTGGGCTTGCAGGTGGGAAAGGCATTAAGAGATGAGCGACTGTGGCACCTACAGCTGGGGCCCTGCCTGGGAGATGGGCAGCTGTTTCTAGCGACCCTGAGATCCTTCCTGAACTTTCTACCGGTTTCTCCACTGACGCAGGTCTCCCCGTCTTCTCTCACTTTGTCAAAACAAAATACAGACATCTTCAAAGGATATATATCTCCCAGGGATCGAACGTTATTAAAAATAGAAGTAATAATAACAGTGGCTACAATTTACCGACGGTTCCCTACGTGCTAGGTGACGATGTACATCCGTCACCTTCACTCCTCTCAGAAACTGAGACGTAGAGAAGCTAAGCTGCTTGCCCAAGGTCACCTGGCTGGTGCCATTTGGATTCAAACTCAGATCTGACTTCCAAGCCCTTGCTATTAACCACTTACGTTTTCTCCTGAAAAGAAGAATGAAACTCCGGATTTGAAACATCCACAACTTCTTTCAAAGCTACTGCCACACTCGCTGCTACGACTGTCCATTTTTTCTCTCCCACTACAGTAAAAGCCTCTCTGGGCAATGCTGTGCCAGGGTACTATGTCATTTGAGCCTCCTCGCCCTGTCAGGAAGACAGTCTTAGCAGCTCCATTTTACATATGGGGAAACGGAAGCTCAGGAAGGTCACTCACCCATGTCACACAGCTGGAAAGGGGGCGAGCAGGGATGTGAAGCCAGGCCGTCCAGCTCCGGGGCCCCAGCAGGCCAGCGTAAAACTACGCTGCCTCCCCGGGTGTGGAAGAGAGGACGGGGGCACATTTCTTGCACTCCTGAAGTTACTACTTCACAGCCAGTGCTGGCGCCGTGAGAGGAGGTGGGATGGAGGGCTCTCAGGCCCCTTCTAATGCCAACAGGGAGGAATGGGGACCGGTATCTGTAGCAAAGCCTCGGGAAGGGGCTTGAAGGGGAAGCAACGCATTACACCGCATTTATAAAACGGTTATTAAAAGACGTATAGGTGATGCTAGTTACACCTGGAGCTTTGGCTCAGAAAGGGAAGCTGAGGGGAAAAGGATTGAACTCTTCTCACAGTGTCTCAGAGGAAGTTCTCTGGAGGAAGACACATGTTTTGGAGAAGAAATGAGCCCCTATATCCTTGATAGGATGAGGATATGAGACTAGGGGTCCAGCCTGCTCCGTAGCTGGACGCAGCATCAGGGTGCCAACCACTAAGTGAATCTCAGGTGCTATCTGCCCGTCTCCCCAGGAAGGCGCTCCTTAGAGGGGACCACCGCCAGGCCTTCTGTTGTACTCTGGCCACTGCTTATTCTGACTGCTGAGGGCTTCCTCCCACAGCCCCTCTTTGCCACCCATTCCACCCCCTTCCGTTCCGTGCGTCCCCTGAGATCTCGTCTGCCCCACCCTACCATCCTGCCCCGCCTCATTTTCCTCCTCACCTGGATGTTCCTTTTGATGATGTCCCTGGTCAGCTGGACCTTGCCCGTGCTGGGGTCCACCCCGGCCAGGGGCACCATGACCTCCCCAATGACGTCGTCCCGAGAGAAGCGGTCGAAGCTGAGGACGAGGAAGTGCAGCAGCAGGTCCTGCAGCTGGCTGTACGGGATGCCGTAGAAGGTGAAGGTCTCGTCGAAAACAGGGTCCAGGGTCTTTCGCAGCACTCTGGTCTTCACCCGATGCCGCTTGTCGGGAAGGATGGTCATTTTGATGTAGGGGTCAGAGCCCTGGGTCTGGTCATCCATCACCGGCAGCCCGTGGGCCTCCTGGATTGTCACCACCAGGGCTTTTTTGGGGAAGTTATAGTCCACTGAGAAGGTGAGGGATCCTAGCATGACGTCCTCCTCGGGAGATGATGGAGAAGTAGTTTTGCTCTCCCCAGGGGTCAGGCTGGCCATGGGGCTCCTCAGGTCTTCCCCATAGTCCACTTTGATGGGGAGCTGGTCCATACAAGACCCAGAGCTGGGCCCTCGGGGACCCTTGTCCCGGCCCAGCAGGCCGGCCTCAGCAGCGTCCACCAACAGGGTCCCTCGTCCGCCTCCTCTCCCGGGGCCATCTTTGTCTCTCCGCACTTTGATGATTTTCTTCTTGTTGCTGAGGGTCTCTGGGTAGATGCTGATACCCTTGAGCATGTGAATAAACTTGTATGGGGGGGTCTTGTGCTTCTTCTCTGCCTGCTGGTGGCAGCATGTCCAGACGAAGACGGTCACCGAGACACACACCACCAGCACAGAGGCCCCGATGAGGCCAGCCACCACTGGTGACACATCTGAAGGTGGAGACCAGAGAAGCGTCAAGGCAGGTGGACCTCAACCCCTTACCTGAGCTCCTCTGCTCACTGGCAACCTAGCCTCCCAGGCAGAACTGGCTCATCTGGGCTGTGAACTTCTCACGCGTCGTAGGGATGCCCTCTCCCATCCTTTTCAATCAATGCATGGCTTCCTTTCCGCCAAACCTGGATGGAAATTACCTTCTCCAGAAAGCCGCCTCTGACATGCCCTACCTGCCTCCCTGTTCTTTCTTGGCCTTTCCTCAGCATGGACGGACTTGCTTAGCTCATATTGACTTAAAGCTGCCCTGGAAGTGTTACACGGTCGCCTTTTTACATGGGAACCCCTTTACCTCAACGGTCACATGAGGGCACGAGCTGTCTGGCTTTAGGAGGACACGCCACAGCACATGGCGGGCCTGTGTGCTGACTGACTGACAGGTGGGGTGGAAGGGTGGGGGCTTGACTTTGGGTGGTTTTAGAAGGGTGCTCAAGGGTGGTAAAGTGGGTAGGTCGTAAAAAGAAGAACTCTGGGTCTAAGTACTTTTAAAATATGTTTCCAAATTTCAGCTCCCAGGTATTTGAAGTAGAGAAGTGTAAAATAGAAAAAAATAAGACTGTGTAAAATGTCAGATCTTTCCTTAAATGTCACCTTCTTAGTAAGATCCTCCCTGACCACCCTATTTAAAAGCACAACTTTCTCTGCCCCTGAGACCCACACTTCTAACCCTGCTTAATTTTCTCCATGTATCTTCTCTCTGACACACACACACACACACACACACACACACACAAGAATACATGTAGTAGACACACACATATATAATTTTACCATTTATTGTCTATCTTCACTAGAACATAAGTTTCACGAGGACAGGTTTTGTATGTTTTGTTCATTTCTGTATCCCTAGCACTAAAAACACATAGCAGGCACTTAATATATATTTGTTTAATGAACAAATAACTAAAAAGGGACAGATTCTTTCCTTTCCTTTCTCTAGTCTTGTCTGCCTTTTCCCCACACAAGTTGGGCCCCTGACTTAGAATAATTAGGGTTGGGGTTATTTCCCCCTTTAAAGTAATTGAAGCCGGTTAGTCTAGATATGGCCTCTAGTTTTTCACATTACTTTTTAGGGGAAGACTTGGGTAGGGCAGGAAGAACTTAGGCAATGAACGTGATTCCAGCATATTCCAGATTCTTCCTGAAATATCCTTTCCCCAGGTACCTGCCTAGCTCCCTACCTTTCACCTCAGGCTTTGGTTCAAACTTCACCTTGTCAGAGAAGCATTTCCTAACTGCCCCAAGTGAGATAATATCCCCATTACCCTGCCTTTTTTTTTTCCTTCCTAGCATTTATTATCCCCAACATATATTTATTTGTCTGTTTTTCCTCACTGGGTAAACTTAGTAAGAGTAGTGAAGTAATTTTGTTCAACGATACATCCCCAGGTCCTGGAGCCAGGTGGCACATAGTAAATGTTCCGTGAACAAGTGACTTAGTGAATTCAAAACAGCCTCTGCAGATCAGAAAACAGAGGCCGAGGTCAATACATATACCAGCAATGAATGCAAAATTCTATTTGGTCTTCAACACCTATCGATAAGCAATGGGAGACCTTGCTTGATAAGTATAAGCAAAAATCACTAAGTGGTTTAGGTAACTACGAGCATAGAGCATAATTAGGCTGGCCAACTCTGATAACAGTGTCCGGATCACAGGAGGGGAGTATAACATGACGAATGTTCTGTCTAGCGCTGACAAGAATAAAAACTGCCATCTTTTTTGGTGTTGTGCTAGAGCTTTCTCTCTCTGAATCAAAGAACTCATTGACGAGGTGTTATTAACCTCCCCACTTTACAAGTGAGGAACTGGGGACTCAAAGCTGCCACACAGTAGCAAATGGCAGTGATGGTATTTAAACCTTGGTCTGCCTGACACCAAAGTGTCATTATGGATAATCAGGATGGTTAAAGACCTGGAAACCATATAAATGAAGAAAAACATGGAAGAAGCTGGAGGAGCTGAGGGGTCTGGGAATAATAACCTTCTTCAATGGCTTAAGGCATTTTGATGGAAGGAGGTGTCCCTTGATTTCACACTGGAGGGCAGGTCTAGCACCAGTGGTTATAAGTTGCAGGAAGACAGATTCTGAGTCCATGAAAAGAGTCCAATTATTATTAGAACTGCCTCTCGATGGCCCAGATTGCTTCATAAGGCAGTGCCTCTCCAACCGAAAACTTTCAAACAGGGCTTGGATTACCACTGGTCATGCATATTCTAAAAGGCATTTCTTCCATGAGGACCACACTAAATGTCTGATGTTCATTCTCCTTCAGACATTCCAGGGTTCTATGAAAGTTGGGACCAGGTAAGAAAAGAAGGGGTCACATTTTAAAATAATACAGATAAGGAGTAAGCCATGAACAAATACATCAATTATCCATGGCCTTGGAGGACAAAAGGAGCAAGCAGCGTGGGTCACTGCAATTGTCCATAGTCATGATAATAATATTGTTTATTCTCAGCGTATTAGGTGGAATAAGAGTTATTAGGGAGAGGGGTCCCAAAACGGGGCAGAAATAACATCCTGTTCATCTTCGAATCCCTGAGTCTCTTGCATTTAATACGGGCTCAGTAAATATTTGTTCGAACAAGTGATTGGTTTCAATTGTCAATCCGAACGGGCACAAACTGAAAAAATGGCTCTCCATTCATCAGTCAGGGACTTTCCTGAAAATTGCTTGCTGCTGATTAATGAAACTGAACATTGATTATCTCTATGAGAAGAGGAAAGCAGGGGGCTACCAAGACAGGTATGTTTTTGAGACTCATTTGAAAGGGAGATCCAAAGGCCCACGCCGGGAGACATCTGTGTGAGCTTTTTGGCTCTACCACAAATTTACTCTGTGATCTTGAGGGAACCCACTGCTGCTTTCCATGCCTCAGCTTTTACTGTTAGAAAATGGAGGTGGGGTCGGTAAGAGAAAACATGAAGGATCCTCATCTTTCAGCAGGACAGAGAAGGAGAAGAAGAGAAACAGACAGATCTGTGTACTGAACACCTAGGTGCTCTCCCCTACCTGGTCTCCCACCTTTGCTCCAGTTCCTTCTGCATTTGAGTGTTCATTAACCCCTGCCTCTCTCCCCCACGCTCAAGGAAGTGAAGTAGCAGAATCAGGGACGCTGAAACTCAGAACCCTTTGTCTTGCTTTCGTCAAAAGCTTGGTGGGAAAAGGAACTCAGACCTAATGGCTGACTTGAGTGTTTCAAAGTAGCTGTAAATTGCAGTGACCCAGGCTGCTTGCTCCTTTTGTCCTCCAAGGTCATGGAAAATTGAGTGTTGGCTTGGTGTGTCTCCCAAGGGCTATGGCATTTGAAATGAAGTACTCTGTGACACTTGAAAAAGTCAGAAGTGGCAGCTCTCGATGTAGGAGACCCTCTGTACAGGTCAAAAGACCTGCACAGCACATCTGGGCTATGCCCAATTCTGTCAGCTTCTGACCAGACCTGCTTAATGACACTCCCTTTACTAAAGCAGCCTTTCCCCGTCAAGTAGGCCTGTGTGATACAGTGGAATGAGAATGAACTTTGCCATCAACTGGACATTGGTTTAAATCCTAGCACTACCTCACTAGTTTCTTTGGCTTTATTGTATTTCTCTGAGCCTCAGTTTCCTCATCTGGCAAATATATATAATACCGATGACACCAGAGGTTATTTGTAAGGATTGAATGAAATGTAGTATATAAAAGGCTGGTATAATTTCTTTTCCCCTGATATTCCCTCTACAGGAAATCATTACATTATACTCCATACCATTCACTTTCCAACGAACCTGGGACTACAATTAGAGGACTATGTTGGAAAGAAGGCATACAAAGAAAAGAAAAGAGCAGAAGGAAAATCATGGGGTGCCGTGCGACCACAAAAAGGGACATGTTTTGGCAATTTAGGACTCAAAGAGGAACGATGAAGAAGGTGAGGTGGAAGAAAGAAACACCAAAGATTTAGCCTTGGGAATCCGTAGGACAAGTACTTAGGGGTGTGATCTGCTATCTGGACATTCTCCCTGACCCCATGTCTTCTCCTGTTTTCTCTGGATATCGAGGGAGTGCTGCACAGAGTTCTGCTCATTTCCACTGACCTGTTCCTGGGGAGTGAGAAAAGCCATTTCCTGGTGGGACTGCGGCCCCACCCTACACACTGATGCTCAAACCTTCTGGATTGTCTGAGGGTTAGGATCTCTTCCAGGGTATGAAGGAGCCCCGAGGCTGACACCACTCTGACTGGCTTCTAACACCCAAACTGGGGTCGAACTCACGGAGAAGCGGGGAAATTCTTTTTCATTTTTGCACCAGGAGAGCACAGCACAAGAAGTTTGTTGCCCTAGCCTATTTGGGGGGGGAAACCCCAAAGGGGAAAAAACTTGCTTCTCCAGCTTTTCTTTCCTGCTTTCGTCCCTATTTTCCACTCCACTCTGCTCCAGGGAATGTAACTGAGCTTGGAGCCCATCGGGCTGGGTCCGGGACCAGCGGCGCCGAGATGACGTAATGCTTTCTCTGGTACACAAAGCGGCCTCCCCAGGGCTCGGGCTCTCTCGCCCCTCCCCCCCGGGCCTGGATCGGGCCCCCGCCAGCCAGCGCGGGTGAGTCCCCCTTTTTGAAAAGCCAGCCAAGCCAGCCCAGGGAAACAGGGAACAAAGGCCCAGGAGGAAGCGCCTAGGCGCTGCCAGGAGGCCCAGAAATAGACATCACGTCATCCCCCAGCCCAGCAGCACCAAGCGCCATTTGGTAGCATCGGAGGGTCCCCACCATTACGATGCAGAATAGAACTTGCAGTGCTCACGTTTCCTCCCAGCTCCAGCATCCAGCTGACCGGCTTAAGGAGTGGCTTCCTTTCTGCTCCCCACCCCCGCACCTCTCTCCCCAGAGGCCGCCGCCTCCCCTGGCTGCTAGCCACACGGCCCACAGTCTCCAAGCTGCCATCTTGATGCCCCATCCCCCTTGCCACCTCCCTCCCCCGCAGCCCTGAGGAGTAGGAGGGGGAGGAAGGGGGCACCGCCCTGCGTGCCCCAAGGGGGAGGGCTCGGCCTACCCCACCTCTCCTCCCCCAGCAGGCGGGGTTCACGTCCTCTGCAAGCTCGCTGTTTCTCACCTCCAGCAGTGCTGACGGTGCACCACACAAGGTTTGGTGCTGGACCTCCCACCCTCCGTGTGGGTCTGGCCTTCCCAGCCCCTGCCGCCCATAGCTCAAGTTCAGGCGCTGTCCACAGCCCGCCACCCACCAACACAGGCCCGATTCTAGCGGCCCTTGTCTGGGCTCCATTCCCTGTCCAGCTGCTAGGCTTCCCTGGCTTTGCAACGGTTTCGACTACCCCAGGCTTAGTTCGCCCGACTGTACTTACCAAAGCTAGGTCGGATATTGGTGATCTCAGCCATGTCGTAATCAGAGTCTATCGCTATAAAAATGCTTTCGCAATGCTCAAATTCTGGGAACCCCCAGTCAGTACGGAATCCGCCGCTGTAGACCGCTAGGTCAGGGGAGGGGGAAAGTATCAGGCGGACGCCTCCTGCGACGGTCTGGTCCCTGGTTGCCAGCTGCGGTCTCCTCTTAAGATGCTCCAGGGATGCTCTGAGCTAAGGATGCAGGTGCAGGCAGACTGGTCCTGATGCGAGGTAGGCCCCGCCTTCTTCCGAACAGCCCTCGGCAGGAGACTCCGCCTCTGTCCGAAAAGTTCCGGAAGGCAAGGCCCGCCCCTTTCCGGAAGATCTCCGGAGGGGACCCCTCCCCTCGCCGAGATTTCCTGAGCCTGAGACCCCGCCCACTGACGGGCTGTGGGTCTGTAAGGAGACAACCCTGAGGCCAGAGTAAGAAGTGTAGGTACATTATCACATGAGATTCCATATAGATCCCGTGATTCCAGTTCCCTGGGCTTAATATAGCAGCAGAATGTTCTGGGTGCCCAGGATTTTGGAAAAACAAAATTCAATACTGCTTGCATTTCAGTATCAATTGCCATTACTGTTATGCATTTCTGAGACCACTAAAGGTTATGGAACCTTTCTTGAACTTAAGAAACTCTAATTAAAGACCAAACCTTGTGGTGGTCACACAACACTAAAAATTTATTTGTAATAATTTGATTGTATAAGTAAAACGGATGGATTTTGTGGTGTGGTATGTAAATTAAAGCTGTTTTTATTTTATAAAAAGACTAACGAAGAGTGCCCAAGTTAATCAGTGTTGGATATTTCACTTCCAAAAGTTTCAAGTGAGAGAGGGGATAAGGGGGGTGGAGGGGGAGAGCAAACCAACAGATTTGTATTCTGTAGGTTCAAAAACAGGACTCAAATGAAACTCCAAGCTTCTAGAGACTTCCTTGGCATTTGGGAGAGTTAGGGTGATTCAGGTTAGAGTTAGACGACTGGCGGGTATGTCCATGATTACACCAATTCACTCTTCATTTTGGTTGTGGATACTTTTCATCCTGTGGGATTCTGTTTACAGACAGGATGGGATATTTGTTGGTGGTTCGTCCGTAAAATGAGAGAATTGAATGTATTTTTCCAGCTTTGACATTCTATCCTTCTAGAAAAGTGGAAAGAACACCGTTCTAGGAGTCATTCATTCGTACAAAACACAGGTGTTGAAGTATTGAAAATCAACTATGCCCCAGGCACATTCCCAGGCACTGGAACAATGCATTAGAAGCTAGAGTTAGGATACCCGATTCCCCTAGATGGCTGTGTATCTTTGTGAAATCACCTTCCTACCTGAGCCAGAATTTTGTTTTGTGTAAATTGGAAGGTTTAATAATATCCGTTGTCCCATAGGGTTTATTGTGAAGATCAAATCACGTAAGTGAAAGCATTTTGTAAAATGCAGAGTATTATACAGATATAAATGATTACGGTGGCTTGAGTCCATGACAACTTTATTGAGGAAACTGCACTACTTGTAACCCAGGGGCTCCTCTTTCTGAAATTTTATGAATTCTCTATTTCCTTGGTCTCGTATTCCAGGTGTCGCGCCGCGAGAAGGATTAGTTGTCAAACTAAACCGCTGAATCTCAGCCCCCAGTTTTGTTTTGAGTAGGATAGCCCCATGGACCGAGAAAGCGAGGGGTTGCCTTTAAACTTTTTTGCCAGCAACTGACGCGCTACCTGTGGGGCTTCGTTCCGCCCTAAAATAAGATGGCGCCTCGTGGTTGGCGCATGCTCCTTGACGACCTGACGCCGCGCACCGCGACTCGGGGTCGCGCACGTCAGTCGCTGCCGTTGACTGACTTCCGGTGGTGCAGACGGAGAGTTTCCGCGGGATCAGGCAGGCTGGTGAGCTTACTGGGTCTTGTGCGTTGGGGCGGGAAGATGCATTGGGAGTTGGACGTCCGGGCGAAGCATGTCCGGGCTGAGGGGGTCCGGGTCTGAGAGCTGAGGGGGTCGGGTCTGAGGACTGAGGGGGTCGGGTCTGAGGGCTGAGGGGGTTCGGGGCTGAGGGCTGAGGGGCTTCAGGGCTGAGGGGGTCGGGTCTGAGGACTGAGGGGGTCGGGTCTGAGGGCTGAGGGGTCGGGTCTGAGGGCTGAGGGGGTTCGGGTCTGAGGGCTGAGGGGCTTCAGGGCTGAGGGGGTCGGGGCTGAGGGTCGGCGCGGGGTCGGGTGTGAGGCCTGGCGCGGGGTGCGTGACAGAAGACGGAGTTGTGAGGGTGTCTAGCTGGGAGTGGGGACGTGGGCCAGTGCTCGGCGCCTAGGTCAACAGCGCAGTTAGTATCCCTTTTTGGAATCTTTTTGCAGGAGGGGCCCGCTCTGGGGCTGCCTCCGGATTCGCATTCATTCATCCTGTTGGTCTGCCTCTAGTATCCAAAGG